GTAATATTAAAAATATATTGTAATGAGTTATTTATAAGATTGTTTAATAATTAATCAAATAGGCAAGTTGTCTAATAGAAAATTGAAGATAGGTCTGGTATATTGTAAGTGGACATGCAGTATAGTTGTTTAATTTGTTGATATAGGTAATTTATAATTTTTGAAATAGTATTAAGAATAGTAATATTAAAAGTATATTGTAATAAGTCATTTATAAGATTGTTTAATAGTTGATTAGATGGGCAAGTTGTCCAATAGAAAATTGAAGGTAGGTCTGGTATATTGTAAGTGGACTTGTAGTGTAGTTGTTTAATTTGATAATATAGATTATTTATAATTTTAAAGTAGTATTGAGAGTAGTAATATTAAAAGTATGTTGTAATGAGTTATTTATAAGATTGTTTAATAGTTAATTAAATAGACAAGTTGTCCAATAAAGGTATGATAACATTGGTGACAAGTAGATAGGATATAAGCAATAACATTTGTATAAAGTGTGTGGAGCAAAAAGTTCATCTAGTAAAATTTTAATTCTAAAGGACTTAAGATTAAATGATTGAAAGCTATACAAGAAGTTTGAAATTTTTTAATTATTATTAATATATAGCCAGGTGGCTTGTCAATTAATTTGATTAAGGATTTTTTTCCATTTATAAAAGCAGTTTTGAGTAATTTATAGTGTATAAATATATGTATGACAAATTGTATAAATACTGTAATGAGTTGGTAGCTTCAAAGAAAAATTCTCACGAATAAGAATATAGGCTGGACTATAAATATCATACAACATAAAAATAAAATATATTAGATTATAATAATTATATGCAAGTTGGTCAGCTAAATTATTGAATGTATTATCTTGGTAAGCAGTAACTTTGTGAAAGATAATTTAAATTTTGTAAAAGTTAATAAAGTTGACAAGTGTGTTCCAAAGTGAAAAGTATGATATATATATATATAATAAAGTAATAAAAAATTTTAAAAGATTTAGATATTTAAAAATTACAGATTAAAAATCTGTGTATATATTTACAGTATAGTTTCTAAGAGCAGTAATAAAAGCTAATAAGATAATAGTAAGTTCTGATTTGAATGAACAAAACCAAAGTTTAACTTGTGTCTAAAATGTATGCAATATAAAATTATTTTTAACTTGGACCTATTCAATACTTATAAAGTATTGAGAGGTACCCAAATTAATAATAAAGCTATTAATATAGAAATGGAGTTCTTGTTAATTAGTATTATAGTTAGCAATTTGTTAAAGTTTATAAATTAGTGTATAGAGTTCAAAGATAGTTGGAATTGAGTGTATTGAAATAATAATCTTAGGTGGGCTTAGAGTTTGAATAGAATATCTAATTGCAACTAAGTATAAAAGATTCAAATAATTGGCATTAAAGTTAAGAGTTTTGTTATTTGTATTAACTCAACTAAAAAATTGAATTGAAAGATTAGTAGAGATAGTAATTGTATATTTGTTATTAATTGTTTGTAAATTAAGAGAACAATAAAAATATGTATATAATTAAATAGATGCAAAAGGATATAAGCAGGTAAATTGTAATTCAATTTGATATTGCCAATAAGTAATAAACACAGTACTAGATTGAGAAGATTGTCTTCTGACTTTATTAATAATAATTTGGTTATTAAGTACTATAATAAGCCAAAGTTTTTTATATAATAAAAAGTGTTCAGTAGTGTAACTATAGTAGTTAGTATAAAGTAAATATAAGTGTAAATATAGTGTATAGTTGTAGAAATGACTTGTAATTTGGTCTTTTAAATTAGTAAACCAAAGAGGTTGTTTGCCTTTTGAATGCAATAAAAAATATATTTCAATTCAATAAGTATGAATTATCAAATATAGTAAGTTGGTCTAAGTATAAATTGTTATGATATTTGAATTGTTTTTTAAAGGTTAGGTATTTAAAATATAAATAAAGAAAGAATTCTAATGAGATAGAGCCTTCTTGAATAGTATATAAGATGTTATAAGTTGGATTAAAGGTAAATATTATATCAAGATATTTAAAAACTTAAATAATTTTAAAGTTAGTAGAATGTTTGTTTGGTTTATCAATAGTAAGATTATTGTGTATCAGTATACTAATAAGTAATCAAAGATTATTTTAGAGTTGCTAAAATCAAATATGAGTACTAATACCAAGAAGATTAGGAAAATTAAGTTTTTTAATATAGTTTGTGATATAGTGTTGTAATTGGATATCCTATATGTTGTGAATATTATATAATTAATGATTAAGTAAAGTACTATATAAGTTGTACAACTAAGTAACTTTACTAATATTTAATATCTTAGTATTCTAAATATTATTAAATTTTAGAATATTTGATTTTTATTATTCAAATATTTTAAACTGACAAAAATATTTTAAATATACTAAAATATTTTAAACAGTCTAAATTATTTTAGACAATTTAAATTATTTAAAATTTAAGCAGTCTAAAAGAATTTAATTATTTAAATTTATGCCAATACTAAAATAATTTAGATGCCCATCTATATCTAAATAGTATAATAGATTTTTATATAGCAAATTACTAATAAAATTTTTTTTTGGTATTAAATTGATCTCTTTTGGTTCTAACTTTTTATTAATACTTATATTAGACATATGTATATATAGATGTATCTATATTAAATTATTAAATAAATATACAACTAGCTATATATCTATATTACCTATTTAAGAAGTCTGTCTAAAGGTTTTTTTTACTAGTTGCTATACTTAACACCTCTGCTTAGGTATTTCATTTAAACTCTTTGATCTAATTCTAGTATTAACTTTATTAGATCACAGACCCAAATTCTTTTGTTATTGATATTTAGAACTATAATTCTTAGACTATTTTTATCCTTGAGGTAAACCTATCAAAGTAAGCTGTATTCTCTTTTACTGCTAATCTGGTTTGATACTATGACTGAGACTAACACTTGCAATCAAGGTTATTCATTAAACTACTATTGCTTTTGTAAAGTTCATCCAAACTCTAATATTTATTTTTTCAAATTATAAACAAAAGTTTGTCTAATTGACTAATAAATTCAATTTAATTTTATATTATTTATATAGTTTAGAGTACTTTTTAAAAAAATAAAATTTAATTATAATAAAGTAAAAAAATCATATAAAAGGGTTTATTAAAGTTGTAAGACTTTATAGCTAAAAATAAAATCTAATTCACATTTGTTTAAAAAAATTAGCTTAGTAAAAATTTAATTTTATCAGATTTTAAGAAGGTATTACTATACTAGCTTTTTTAAACAAACAAAAATTGGATTTTATTTTTGACTATGAAGTTCTATAACTCTAATGAAATCTTCTATATATTTTTTTATTATTATTATGATTGGTTTTTATTTTTTAAAAAAATACTTTAAATTGTATAAATAATGTAAAATTAAATTAAATTTATTAGCTAATCAAACAAATTTTTGTCTATAACTTTTTAGTTATTTTCTCTATTATCTCTTACTAATTATTACTCAGAATTGATAAGACTCTCCAAACTACCAATTCAGATGGCCTGGTATAGTATACTTATTTATCTTTTTTTCTTGATAATTCTGGCAGCCTGGTTAGTACATATGTTTTCTTCACATATCTGTTATCTGATTTATCTGACAATTCCTTTGAGAATGTTTCATAGGCTTCCATTAATTCAACAGCATTATCAAAAGTTTGTACTATCTCTTTACTTGAGATTTCTAAATAGGCTTCTGTTTCTTTGGTTTTTTAATTTTATACATCTGATGGTCTTATTATAGATTTGTACTAAAACCTTATATGACACTGGTTTTTTACATTCCTCTATATATATGTAATGTTACATTTCTTATAAATACCCTAAGCTTTCAAAATTAGGTGAACCCTGATCTGATATACCTAAGATTACAGATGCATAAGCCCAACTAATCAACAATAAACAGTTATTATAATGCAGTTATAATTTTCAAAATTCATCATCCATGAGAATTGAAACTTAGACCTGCCACTTGAAAGTTGACAACCTATCCAGATTATTAGGTCATCACACTTCTAATAAATCTTTTTTATTTAGTATCAACATTTAATAATATATAGATTTATATAAGTTATTTATTCAATTACAATTTTATAAGATATTTAATTTAAAAAAATTATATTTGTACAGATCTTGAATTTTCCTAGATGCCCTATGTTTTTTTCTAGTTAACTAATTTCTGAGAAACTATAAAAGAATTTTAATAGTAAATTTTTATATCTAATATTTAAAAATTTATATATCAATAAGTTTTAAACCAATTTTAATAATTTTACTACTGTTAGAATCACAAAAACCTATTATATAACTTTACTTAAAAACTCAAAAAATATTTAATTAGTAAAAAGTTTCATAATTGAAATTACAAAAAAAAATATACCATCAAGTTTATATATAATTTTAAAATATTACACCCTACCCTTAAATCCAAAAATACTCTAAATAATTTCGTTAGTAAAGCATTAAAAACTATGATAATTTTTATTTAAATTACGAATTATTAAATTTAATAAAGAAATTTATAGTTTACATAGTGCATATACACGAGTACGTATTAGGTTGTTTTTAGGGCTTAGCAAAGATATAATATATACTAAAACCTTGCAGGTGACCTTTCTTTTTGTTAGTGTAATTATAATTTGAGACACTAACATATACGAATATAAATTGCATGAATTAATGAAATAAAAAAATATACATAACATTTATATATATAATTATAGAAAGAAAATATTAATTAAGAAAAAGCCGAAAACGAGAACATTACATGAAATTGTGTACATTAATTATATGAATCAACTTGCTGATTATTTGCACGTATCTTGACATATATTATGGCAACAAACAAAACTCGCACAGTAAAAATCTGCTGTGCATTCACATCCGTTTGGTTCATTGAATCCACCTATATCGCAACCTACAGTACAGTACATTAAATTGTTATCATTATGGTAAATCGTAAAATGAGTGATGCTAGCTTTTTAGAGTAATTCAAAATGACAAACCTCGTGTTTTTAAGAGTCGATTAGGTAAGTCTGGATAAATATAAACAGAGAGAAGATTAGATAACTTTTCCAAGGAATACTCCTTTCAAAATGAGATTGAATTCGATATTAAAGAAATCAAAAATATTCATACTTTTGATGGATACTCCTTCGACTAAGATGCAGGAAAAGAGGATTGCGATAAGTAAAACCAGTAATATGCGTTTCATGATTAGAAAATTTGATATTATTGCAAATACGTTGCGTAAAAAGGTTACAAGAGTTAAGCCTTGTTAGCAAGATGGCAAGGTAACCCTTTACTTTTAAAGCTTTGAAACCCCTAAGATTTAGTGTTCAGCTCACATGAAACGAGAAATCAATTTTCTAATTTTATCAGTATAAAGATATTTTCGAGAGTAGCCGAGATCATCCCGAATCTGGATTAATCAATTTTGGGTCATTGTAGATCATGATGATACGTAAAAAATCACAAGAAATCGGCAGATTCTAATTTTTCGAAAAATTAAGATAATTGGAATATATAACTTAATATTCAATATAGCTTAGATAAAAGGTTACCGTATTTTATGCGTAATAATGCTGTACGTTCCGAAATAACGCAGATATTCTTATTGGTAAAAAAACTGAAGATGGGTTGTTGCCCAGCAAAACCATGCTTAGAGTATATATTTTTTATATACTCTAAGCATGGTTTTGCTGGGCAACAACCCAGATAATGCGTGGTGACAAATAACCAATTTGGACGTCTTAATCAATGGGTCAAAATGTGATAGGAATATTATGACCGGTCAAAACGAAGCTTTTAGTTATGCAATATTTAACTAAAATTGATGACAATTAGATTACAGGATCACGTGTAACGTGAAATTTGATTTTTTAAAAAATCGCAAAATTTTCACTGTATGCTATGCCCTACCTAAACCTTAACTATGCCTCTAACCCGACCCTAATGATAGTACCGTATAGCACTGATTAGTACCGGGTACTATTCATGGATCCACTATGTGGTAGGATACTATTTTCGGGGACACTATAAGCAGTGCTATATGGTAAGTTTCGACTAGAGTTAATACTTTACTATGTTTTTATATCCAGATATATTTTATATCCGGATTATATCCGGATTATATCCGGATAATATTACTGTTTTAATATAAATTTTTAGCAAAATATCAATCCGGATATATTTATATCCGGATTGAAGTATTAACTCTAGTTTCGACGCATTGTTTTTATTTTGATTAAAAGTTACACGATCTGATTGGTCGGTCATGCTCAGGTGACAAACACATTTTTTCTAAAATAAAACTGTAAGAAAGTTTTTTTAACCATTGAGCAAATATTTTGACAACTATTTATCTAAAATTGATGAAATTTTATTTTGATTTTATATAATTACAGGTGACCCTCAACCTCAACTATCGAACGATTTCCATATTCGTAGAACCGGGAAATTCTGATTAAAAATTCCGGTTCTCGATATGGTGATCTGTGTCTGTTAAATATATTTTGGGTCAGAATCCCGAAAGTCAAAATCCCAATATTCAAACGCTTGAGCTGAGTTTGAACATCAGATCCCCGACATCACACAATACGATAATTAAGTTTCGGGATTTTTGACCCATAATTTTATTTGTAATTTTACTCTGTTAATATTTTTGACCAATAAAAAATAGAATCATAAGTCACATGATATATTTGGACAATAAGAATATAGAATAGCAAGTCGAAATATATGAAAAATTATTATTACAAGACGAACTCGATTTTTTTATCAAATAAACCGCCTTTTGCTTCTAATAAAGGAAGTTTGTTTAGTAGAAAATTGAGTTCGGATGGATAAATACTTTTTATTAGTTGTCAACCTCGTATATATCTAACATAATTGCCCAATTCAAATGGGTTGATATTAATAAGGTTTTATTTCAATTATATATACGTAATAATTACAATAAATGTTTTTTACTAATACCAGTGTGTTATATTTCAAAAACCTACTAGATAAAAAATGTTGGGGTATTAAGCAAATATACTCAGAACCTAAAATTCATATCTACTATAACTTACTCTAAACTTGCAACCTAACTTTAAAAATAAGAGGTGATGATTACTACTAATTATTTGTAGTAAAAAATTAAATAGTAAGATTATATATAAGAATAAACAATTAAAGATACAAATAAGAATGGGTGTGATGACTTAGTGAAGCAGATAAGTTGTTAACCTCCTAAGTGGTAGGTAGTAAGTTCAAAACCCACTGATGGTGAAAAAATTTGAATAATCTCTTATATAATACATAGGTGGTATTATAGTGATGGCATTTTGTCAATCAGTTGGGATAAGATACTTGTAACTATGATTGCATCAGCATGACTGGCAGATCATGGGGCATCTGTGCAATGTTGAAGTTATACAAAAGAATGCAAACTAGTATTAGATAGTGTAAATCCAAAATAAGTTCTTATAGTTATATAAATCTGTAGAACTAAGAAGTTGGAACCTGAGATGTGGTGACCTAGTGAAGTGGTCAGGTTGTTAACCCTCCAAGTGGTAGGTTGGGTGTTCAAATCCCATTGATACCAAGAATTTGGATAATCACCTATATAATATTTGTATTATGGTAATTGTTACTAATGATTGGGTTAGGATACCTGTAATAGTGGTCGCACCAGCATGACTGATAGGTTATGGGGTATTCATATAATAGGTCACATGACATTGTCCTTTGGGATAAGGTTATAGTTACATGAAAGAATGCAAACTAGCAATTAGGCAGTGCAAACACTAAATAAGTTCTTGTAACTATGTAAATTCATTGAAATTGGGTAACAAGATGTTCATTTGGGAAGACCCGAATAGAAAGATAACCAGATCTTCAATGGTCTTACTGTAAAAACTAGTCTTATAAAATGGATACCAAGGTTGAAGTAGTTAGACAGGCAAAAACCTCTAGGTGGAGGGTACTACCAACCAGGCCACCAGATTGAGCTAGAGGAAAAGGATATCAGGCTAACCTGATATACCAATAAACTGGTCATAAGTTCTATCAGACTATCTGGATTGGGAGTTTGGTAAACTAGCAGAGATATACTAAAGTATTTTGGATATGTTTTGAAGTAGATATTAAAGTTTGTATAAACTCTACAAGGGCATAGTGGTTTAATGATTAGTTCTGACTACAAATGTTGGTTCTGTCATAGCAATACTTAGGTCAGCTATAAAAATAGATACAGAAGGCTCTGGAGGGTTTATTTTGAGAATAAATTAGTCCTAAGGTTGAAACAATGATCTGGGCATCTGGAATAATCCAGTGATGTTAATACAGATTATAGGTTCAAAGGATTTAAAGTGGAACACTCAAGCAGGGGTGTTAGGTACAGCAATTGGTAGGGAACCTTCAGACAAACTCCTTAAATAGATAATATGGAAAAGTTACACATATAGCCAATTGTACGCTTTCCTGTAGTAGTTCATTGAACCACAATACTAATAAGTAATTAATAAAAGTCAAAAGACCAAAGAGGTCACTTTAATACTAAAAAAAAAAAAAAAAGAAATTGGAATCTACTTAAGAAGACCTGAGTAGAGAGGTAGTACGGATCTTTAACAGTATCACTATAAAGATTAGGTTTAGAAAATAAATACCAATATAAAAGATATCAAGCAAACAAGAAACTTAGATAAGAGATACTAATAACCAGACCATTGGAAGTCTTAAATCAAAAAAAAAAAATCTTGGAAGAGCAGATTTTTGGAGTACTAGAAACAGAATACAGTTTTTTCAGACTATCTGGATTGGAAATCTGAGATCTAAAGCAGAGTATAGTTAAGTATTAAGAATATTTTATAAAGTCAGTATTGGGATTTAGATGAGTTTTACAAAAAGAAATTTTATTAGCAAAGATTAAATATAAATAATTAGTTAGCAGAGAGGCTTTTTAAGCCCTACAGTCAAATGATATACTCTGAAATATATAACAGTTTGACAGACATATAGACAGAAAGATTAGGATTAGATTAAATGACATCTAATTAGGTGTATAGAAGCTTGTATACTATCTGCTATTGTAGTATAGGAGTAATCTTATACAAGTTATATAATTATAATTGAATTTACAATAAAAACAATAGTTACTAATAACTAACAGCCTTAGCAAAAACAAAAAAAAAAAATACAAATAAGAAATAAAAAAATAATAAACTAAAAAAAAAAAGAAAATAAAAAATTAAAAAAAATTAAAAAATTTAAAAAAAAACAAAATTCTTATTTTATTAATAATTATAATTATAAGCTTTTATTAAGTTTTTAAAAATATAAATAAAAATATCTTTATTATTTTTTTATTTATTAAAATTATTTAATAAAAATTATATTAAAAAAACTTAATTTAAGTAGAAAGTCAAAATGAAAAATTAGTTATTAATTTAAAGTAATATTTAATAGCTTTTTAGTAGTTCAAAGCATATATATAAATAATATTTATATTATTATATTGGTTTAATTAATATTATCAATAATTTTATTTAGAAAAGTAAATATTACTAATTATTTTAAAATTTTATATATTAATTTTTTAAAAAAAATAAACTTATTTTTTATTAAAATAATATTCAAATAGAAATTTTATTATATATAAAATTATAAGTTCTAAATTTAAAGATTTTTAAACTACATTTGTATTAAAAAAAGCATCTAATATAATATTATATTTTTTATTTTTTATAAATACTATAGTTAACTATTTTAAATTAGATTTTAGCTAAAATAGATTAAAAGAAAATTTTGAGTAATTATTTAAATATTAATTAATATAAGTAGTTAATAAAGGTTTTTTTCAACCTATTCTAGCTAGAAAATAATTTGAAACAATTATCTATAGCACTTATTAGAAAATAGAAGGTGTAATGTCACATTGGGTGTCTATTTTTTTAGTAACACAAATATAGTTTAAAAATCTTTATTTTAGGAATTTTCTTCTGTAATTAAATTTCTTATTGTATTTTAAAGTTTTTATTATAATATTATATATATATATATATAAAAAATAAGTAGTTAATAAGTAATTTTATAAGAGCTATTTAATAATAAAAGAATTAGTATTAATAAATTAAAAAGAAATTGTAATATTATTTAAAAGGTTAGATAAAATTAGTAAAC